TATATATATATATATATATATATATATATATATATATATATCTCATTACATAATAAATAATAATAAATAAAATATAAATAAATAAATAATAAAATAACCAAGTAGTTTTAAGGTTTTAAGTATAGAAGTAATTCTGCGTACGTACCTTTTCACGATCCAGTGCCACACCGTCTGCACTGGTAGGATTGCCTACAGATCAACATAAAGCTCAATTTTCTTTCACACTAATTTAGTTCACTGGATTGATAAAGCAATAACACATTAAAGAATTAGCACTTCAAATAGTGCTGATATATATATATATATATATATATATATATATATATATATCTCATTACATAATAAATAATAATAAATAAAATATAAATAAATAAATAATAAAATAACCAAGTAGTTTTAAGGTTTTAAGTATAGAAGTAATTCTGCGTACGTACCTTTTCACGATCCAGTGCCACACCGTCTGCACTGGTAGGATTGCCTACAGATCAACATAAAGCATTGTCAATTTTCACACTAATTTAGTTCACTGGATTGATAAAGCAATAACACATTAAAGAATTAGCACTTCAAATAGTGCTGGATAATAAAGCGCTAAAGCACACTTCTGAGTGCAGACAGCATGGAATGAGACGTCTGAAGATACCTTTAACTTAACATGCCGTCTCAAATATGAGTCACTCATTAAGACCCCATAAACACAATCAAGCCTAGAAAAAACCCACTGAACCACCCCTTTAATACTCACTGTTAGGGGTTTATAAGCATGAGCAACAGTCATTGGCTCTAAGAATGTGATGTAATCAAGGAAAAGGAGTGCTATTGAAGCGCAAAACAGATGATATTGAGTTATTTTATGGCAAGGTCGACGGTGTCATCCAGTTTTAAACTCATTCACTGTACCCAACCACAGAAACCTGACCTGTGTGAAACTTAAGCCTCAAATCTCTCCCACAGTCACACACACACACACACACACACACACAAACGTGAGGGCTGTGAGCTGGGCTCATATAAACCATATAAACCACGGATTATATCTGATTAGACACATGACACGCCGTTGACACTCATTCAAATACATTTATCACTCAAGCTCTTTTCATACTTGATTTAAATGCATCTACTGGTTTGACAGATAAAACCTCAAAAACAAGTGGTTAAATTTCACTCGACTCGACTGCATGTTTTAACCCTGTAAAGCCTGACATATGAAATAGTAGTTAAAATCAGGCTTTTATGGCTCATATAGTATGATATGGTAAGAAAATGGAGGAAAAAAATAGCTCAGTTTTATTCAGAGGCCCAAATGGAGCAGAAATATGCAATTTGGTGCAGATTATGATAATTATATGGACAAAAAGATAGCTTGTAATATACATCAATGAGATCTTTATGACAGTATAACAGATACTTGCATAAAATGATGAAAAATATAAATACACACTATGTCCCCATAATATGTAATATGATATTTAAATGCTTAGTTTGATGATCAAAACGCACACATACATACATATACATATACATATATACACACACACACACACACACACACACACACACACATATACATCCTTAAGCTGCTTCAGTCCAGTAAGTGTTCATCTTGAAATATTAATAACAATATCAAAGTTATTCTTACATTACAGATTTCACTGTAAAAAGATACGCGATCCACAAGCTGAAGGTGGACATTTGTACAATTATACTAAAAGGACTTTTACTTGCTAAAAAAGAATGAACTGTCAGATGACAGAATGCACTATTATGGTTTTTATAAATCTATTAAATTCATTTTTATTTTTATATTTTCATTTTAATTTAAGTTAAATTTTTAGTAATTTTATTTATTGTTTTTGTAAATTTTATTAGTTTTTTTTAAAAATATGTCTATATAGATTTTTAACTAACATTAACTAATGGAACCTTATTGTAAAGTGTTACCATATTTTTTTATGGTTTTAGTTTGAACTATTATAACACTGTTGTGTGCAATAAGTTTTGATCATCTTGATCATTTAAAGGCCTTAGAAACTGGCGTATCAAATAAGATACAGTAGGATTTATGGGGTTGAATTCCTCAAGAAGCATTTTTGGATTTATATTGTTCCTCTAAAAACAAAGTTGGTGGTTTGTCTCACCGTAAGTGCGTCCTGTAATGGTGCACTTCTTGAAGGCCATGATGTTCTGCGTGAGCGTGCCGGTTTTATCAGAGAAGATGTACTCGATCTGGCCCAGCTGCTCGTTCAGTGTGGTGGTTCTGGCTTTGGCCGGCGTGTCTTTGTCAGCGTAGTACATCTGCAGATCCCAGTTAATGAACTTACTCTGACCCAGGCGGATCACCTCCACGCTGAGAGAACAAAAAACAGTCAGTTATCTGATGAATAACGAGAGCTGTGTGCTCAGAGACCGGTGGAGAGGCTGCTGTCATACCTCACATAGAGAGAAATGGGCACCATGGTGTTGAGGATGATGATGTAGCCCCAGAAACTGAGGAAGCCTCGGTAAGATGAAGAGTAGTTGAGGCCGTCGTACAGATACCAGGCCTTAGAGCCGATGCTCTCGTACCAGTACGTGTGTCCGATGGCCAGACCAGCGCACAACAAAACCAACAACACAAAGATCTGCAGGGAGAACCAGAGAGCCATGAAAACAATTTAGGCTGCAAAATGAGAATGGATTTAATGCAAATGTTGCAGCACCTTAAAATATTACTCTGAAAATAAATAAATAAATAAATAAATAATAATAAATAAATAAATGAATAAATAAATAAATACAATTAAAAAATAATAATAAATAAAAAAAATTAAAATAATAATAATAAAAGTGACTAAAACTTTAACCTGAAATAAGAAAATATAAAAATAAAATCTAATAAAAAATATGAACAAAAATTATAATAAAATAACAATGCTCTGAATAAATTAAAATGTTTTTTCCTTCTGGAGTTTGAGCTCGATATCTCACTGTCATACAATGAGCCAAAAAAGCCTGATGTGTCAAATATGATATAACATAAAACACATACTATTTAAATGTCACATTTCTATGCTATTTACTGTATGTTAATCTTCTGGGGATTTAACTGGTGGTCTTAGACTGTATTTATAAATGAGATTTTATATTAATAAGCGCTGTAATTGTACTGTACCGTAATCAATGATTTCAAACCTGTTTGCAGCAATGACATAATAAACAATCTGTGACGTGTGTTTCTCTCAACGCAGAGGATCAGAGACCTGGAGGACAAGACTGACATTCAGAGGAGACAGATTAAAGATCTAGAGGAGAAGGTAAGACCGATTATATCTCAGTTGCTGTCGGCCAGATGATTGAAATCTCTACTGAAAATGTTTCCTTAATGTCTTCCATTTTTTGTTCTGATATGGATGTTGAGCATTTTCCTATGTGCTGGCTGTGACCATAATTAATACATTTCTCGAATCTTTCTTTCTTTCAGTTTTTATTTCTCTTTTTATTCTTCTCTCTTGCCTTCATTCTTTGGCCTTGATGTCCGTGACATCTCCTGCGGAGGTGAGTGAAGGATCTTTTCTGCTTCCTTCTAATTAAAATAATAATAATAATAAAAAAAATTAAAAATTAAAAAAATAAAAACTATAAATGCACTCTCCAGCATTAAGTTGAATAGATCAAACTCTACAAATGGTCTCTATAAAAAAACTCTATAATATGTGCTCTAATAAATATAAAATTAAAAATATAAATAAATAAATACACTCTCTGTAAAACAAATTAAACAAAGAACTCACTTTCTATAAATAAACACACCTCTATAAATTCAAGCTATAAATAAGAATTTTGAATAATATAAATAAACAAACCTATGAAATCAATCTCTATAAATACGACTAATAAATAAACTCTATAACAGCACTCTCTAGAAATAAATATTATAGTTTGCATAATAGGACTAGGTGTTATATGTAGGTGTTATAAATAATTAAATAAAACTATGAATGCACTCTCTACACATAAGATAAAAATATATAGTAAATATAGTAAAAATATAAATAAATACGCTCTATAAATAAGTTATAAATATAAATAAATAAAACTGAATGCACTCTCTATAATAAGATTAATAAATAGACTATAAATGCACTCTATGAATAAAAGTAAAAACATATATAAACCATAAATGCACTTTCTGTAAATAAGATTAATAAATAAATTATAAATGCACTCTGACATAAATTAAAATAAAAAACAAACTTTATATGCAGTCTATATAAATAAAAATTATTAAAGGGGTCATATGACGTTGCTAAAAAAGAACATTATTTTGTGTATTTGGTGTAATGAAATGTGTTTATGCGGTTTAAGGTTCAAAAAACACATTATTTTCCACATACTGTACATTATTGTTTCTCCTCTATGCCCCGCCTTTCTGAAACGCGTCGATTTTTA